GATGTCGATGACATCTTGTATTGGACCTTTGCCGGCCTTAAGGCTAGCCTTGTAGGCTGTTTGATCTGGCCGAGTGTGGCCGTTATAGTTTTCGGACTGGCCGTGTGCAGCTCTGAATCCCTGCCGCTTTGCGGCTTTATTAAGACATAAATTTAATGGAAATTCAACCAAAGGGAGATTGCGAAGAGGACATGGATTTGGATGATCCTTCCAAAGTAATTTTGGTATCAGCACGCCTTTGGATACCCCAAATCACAAGTTGCCAGATCAATGCTTCATAGCCCAACAATGATAGAGTTACTGGATTACAGAAGAATTTCAAAGATGAAATGGGGTCGGAATTTTTTGATTCTACAGCCAAAGTCTCTTGACCATGTATGTTGAGATGGAAGGATTTATGTATGCTGCATCATGTATAAGAAACAAGCACATTCTCTTGATCTGATTTTAGATGAATTATTTAGATTTATTGGATATGATTAAGAATCTGAAGAACTAGTTGATTCAGAGATCGAGGAGTCTGGTTTTTTACATGAGAATTTTGCAAGTGCAAACGTGACCCATATTCAAAGAAACAACAATTTTTTTTTTGATTTTTTAGCAAAGCTGGTGAAGATCAGATACATTGTATTTTTTCATTTAAACCAATTTGGCCAGACATAAATCTTCTTCGAATTAATATTTTGTTTAATCAGAATTTGATCTAATTGATATGGTAACCGATAAAAAAGAAAGAAATAAAGAAGATAACAACACCAATGAAATGTTGGTTTTATGATAAATGAGTATCTAATAGACACCTCATCATTCAGATTCATAAGAAAGGATAATATGATATAACTAGGTGATAATCCACGCTCTGCGTGAAGTGAGTGAATTAAAAAATTATTATTTAATATCTATAGGTGCATTTGTTTATATAATGTAACCTTATATGTTTTTTTGAATTTTTTGTGTAATTAGATAGGTGAATTGAAGTCTATTATATGAAACATAAATTCCTATAAAATTAAGCAAAAACTTTTTAAATTTTATTATGAATATAGAAAAAACAAAACATAGGTCTTAATAATTATTTAATTCATAATAAAATTATAATGATAATAATTAAATTAAGGCCTCAAACATTTTCTGTAATTCTTCTCAAAATTAAATGCTCGATATTCTCCTTGCCAATTTTATTCAAATATTTTCCTATTAAATCGTCTGATAATATAATTTATCGGAATTAACCACCTTAACTAAATCAATTAGTCAATGATTTTGAATAAATCAAAAAATTTAATATGATGAATTGATTCCTTTACTTACACCAGAATTTTGAAATATAAGGAAAGATAATGTTGTATGATTCTAATGTTGATTGATTCAAAACATTAACAAACCAATAAATAATTTCTTTTTACAAAACATTTCGTGTATGCCAAATATTGCGAGGACCCAAAATGGATGTATTGATTTATGAAAGTCTGAAAATATTTTTTTAATAAACTGATAAAATTATTATAAAAAGTATAATAAATATATAAAAAACAAAATAATTGCTGGAAATCAATTAATTTGTATAAGGAACAAAAGAATAAATATAAAAATAGTTCAAAATAAGGAATTTTAAAACATGTGAAATCAATTATCTTATGTCAATGACCAGAACTTATTTTATATCATTATATAATATTTTATATGAATTATATAGTAATATAACTTATTGATATATATTTTATACAAAGCATATAGTAATATAAGTCTTTGAGATATATATATATATATATATATATATATTATACAAAGCATATAATAATATACATATTTTGTGTACGTAAATATATATATATATATATATATATATATATATATATATATATATATACAACGAACGGCTGATTTATTACTCAAGCTTAAGGTGGTCTAGGAAGCCAGACCCGAATAAAACAACCAACATACAATAGTTCTCGATAGAAGGATCGAGCAGATTTAGCTAAAGAGTCAGCAACACCATTCTGCATTCTACGAACATAGCATATCTTGAAATCTGGAAAACAAATCCGCAGTGTCATGATCCTTTCTAACTCTGTTGAGAAACTTGGCCAGCCGTGAGGATCTCTAAGCATCACTATTAACTCCTTGTAATCCGTCCCAAAGCTCTGACATGGCGAATGTTGAAGCATATTCTCCACTGCCCACCGGAGTGCTTCCAGCTCAGAGTGCAAAGCAAACTCCACTCTAGTAAAATTACGCATACTCATTAGCTGGCTATTTCCCATACTGTCATTCTAAATCCATCCGCATCCACTGAATTGAGCTGTATGTGTCCAAGAACCGTCAACCATGCAGATATCTCCCAGACTTATGATCTGATTGTCGATATTTATGTTCCCTTGACCTGACAATACAATCTGCTCATTTGCTTGGAACCAGGCTTGGCACTCAGTCTCTGCATACCGGGCTAACTCCAGTGGTCTCTATCAATACCTCTGAATAACTTATCGTTTTGAGCATTCCAAATATACCAAATTAGCCAGGGATAAGGGTCTATGTCCATTTCTGGCTCCATTATGGCATTTTTCCTCCAGAAAAGAAAATCCATATTTGCATATGTGTTTTGTACTAGAAACATGGTAAGACTGGAAGGCGTTGAAGATAAGGCCCAAACTTGCATCGCGAGCGGGCACTGAAAGATTGCTTGTGCAACCGTTTCTTCTGGCTCCCCACATCGTGGACAGTGGTTATCACATCTCATATGACGATAGTTCAGAGTACTTGTAACAGCCACATGACATGTTATTAATTGCCACATAAGATGACATATCTTCTGGGGTGCCTTAACCTTCCAGGCATGTGCTTGGAGTTTTGTGATGCTAGGTTCACAAACTACAGCTTCCTCCTCCTTCTTCAGTATATTCCGTGCAACCCAATATCCAGATTTTACTGTATACTGTCCATTTCTTTTATAACTCCAGCAATATGTGTCTCTGCGATGTGTTGCACTAATCGCCATGCTCCTAATAAGTGGTATGTCAGCCGCATCTATGTAGTTCTCCAGCCGGTTGAGATCCTTCGTTTCTTGGTTAATGAGGTCGCTCACTCACATATTCGGATATAATACTGGTTCAGATGGAACCGCTGATCGCGATGGAATGGTAAGGATCCATGGATCCTTCCATACTCTTACCTCATATCCGGAATGTATTTTATGTCTAATCCCCAACATTAATAATTCACGTGCCGCTGATATACTTGTCCACACATACGATGGGCTACTTACAGTGAGCTGTCGCAATGGCGAGCTTGATCGATAATACCGGCCTCTCAAAACTTGAGCTACCAGTGAATCTGGAAAATAACCAATCTCCATAACTGCTTTGCTAACAGCGCCAGGTTAAACTCATGGATCATTCTGAACCCAATCCCTCTTTCCTCTTCAGATAAGCATAACTTATCCCATGTTGACCAGTGAATACCTCTCTTTGGTGGATTCAAACTCTACCAGAACTGTGCAATGACACTAGCTAAAGCATCACAAATCTCCAATGCAAGAAGGAAACATGACATCACATAAGTTGGGAGCGCTAACATGATCGACTTAATCATAACTTCCTTGCCACCTTTTGATAACCAGCGGCCCGTCCATCCATTCACTCTATTCCGTAGCTTATCCTTTAAGAATGCAAAAAATTTGCATTTAGATCCACTGATATCCTCTGGGATTTCTAAGTATGTCCCCATCCCTCCTTCATTCTGAATCCCAAGTGTGTCCTTAATCTCTTGCCTAGCATCCTGTCCTATTATCTTATCAAAGAGTAGAGATAATTTATCAAAATTAATGCATTGTCCTGAAGCTTGTCCATATTTTCTGACCATTCTCATTGCTTCTTCTACGTAAATATATTTAGGGTAAACATATGTTCAATAATAATATAATACCTAATAAATATGTTTTGGAGTACACAAACATATCACACGATCACTCGTTTGCATAAGATGAAAGGGCACTAATATATTAAGTGGGATGTTTGTATAGTATTTTATAAGATTCATATAGTATATTTATATTTATGTTAATAGATAATGGTATTATATGTAATTAATCTAGTAACATAAGGGACTTGGTTAAATGAGTTAAGAATCAATATTGTGATGCCACCTAGAAAATAAAAATGTTATTATTATACATAAGTTTAAGGTTAGTTTTTAAAATGTTTCTAAAATAATACAGTACTAGATTTCGAGGACGGGTATATTTTTTGGTTTTTAATTTTTTAAAATTTAATTTTTATATTTGTATTTTTATTTATAATCATATTTATGTATAAATCTTAATCAAAATCTGTATAATAAGATAATAGCAATTTATCATGCATACGTTCATTTTTTTGTAAAAATATGTCCGTGTTCGTTTCTTTGTAATCATATTTTTCCATTTTAGATCTTGATCCACGCTTCAGGTGCGGATAACGTTGATTTGTAATTTTTGTTTTTTTGTAAATATATAACATTTTCTGTATTTTTTTCTCAAAGAAATATAATTTATGTTTGTGTATAATATTTTTTTTCAAATTATTAGTAAGATATTTTATAATTATATTGAATCTTTGATCTTGAATAACTATATACTTGTGCCTTAGCCATTTTATATATTAATTTTGTACTTTATTCCTAAATGGTAATTTTTTTAGAAAATAACAAAGTCTAGTTACAATTTTGTTTAATAGTTAAATAGTAGTTAAATAGGTAAAATTGTATATTTCCATTAAATTTTCATGATTTTATTTCATATATAATGATTTATGTAATGTTATTATTACACATAACATTTTGTCATGCACTTAAAAATGAATTTTGTAAATTTTTACCCAATGTAAATGAAAAGATCCACTTTAGTTGTTAAATATCAGTTCTATTTATTAAAAAGTTGTGATTTATGGCCCAATTGTTAAATGAAAACCGAGAAAAAAAAAATTCAAGTTTGAACTATCTGAACTCTTTTCTCGAAACATCAGGAAGAAAAATACCTTTGTTTCTCTTTCTATTACTAACCAAAAATTGATGTCTCAAACTCATCGATCTGTGGAGATCCATACTCAGATCGTTCAGGTACTTGTATTATTCTTGTCTTTTTGCATAAAGTGTAAACTGCTTGATATTTGTTTGAATATCTAGAAAATGAAAGTGAATTTGGACAGGTTTTTAGTGGGTTTAGGTTGTTCATATGTTCATAAAACTAATGGGCCTCTCATAATATCATTTGAGCGTAACACACTCGAATTTATATTCTTTTATTTTTCTGACCGTTCAAACAGAAGAAAAAAATGTTAAGTTTGTCGTACGTGAAGCTCGTATTGTAGAAGATGAACTCTTAAATCGAGTTACATACGGTCATAGTAAATCAAATCTGAGGAGTATTGATCGACTTATATCCTTACAAAATTCAGTTAATCACTCTGTTCTATTTTACAATAACTTGTTTTAAATGTTTCTTTTGCTTGCTTTGAAACTAATGATTTTTCTGAAGAGAAAGTAATTTGACAACTGATCCTTGATATGCATCATATATTATCCCTGTTTCAGGAAGTATTCTGCTAAAATTAGACGAAATCCTGTAAAACCCCCAACATGGTTAATAGTCATCGGTATTTGATGTTCGTTTGAGCTCCTTGTTCCGGGAGAAGTTCAGCTTTATTCAGTTCGAACATCATTCATTAATTCAGTGACAACCGAATCAATCTATACCATCTGGTAAGTGATAAATTATATTTAGTAGCGTCTTACAGTATATTATAAACTTTTCAGAAATAAAAAGTTGTTTTTAATAAATTGGGTGTCATCATAAGAATTGAGGAGAAATCCAGATTGTTCCTAAATCTATTGCTGGAAATTATTCTTTGTTTCAATCTATTTGCAGATTTGATCAACGTTTTAAAATTAATAAAAAGTTTCTACAACAGTCATTTAAAGTGATAGAAATTTTGTGTTTCACGCAAAGGAAGATAGAAAGGTAATTGCTTATGTGACATATTTAGTGGAAAGAAAGATAACTGATTATATTATCGAAATATTAAAGGTGGTTAGAGTCGTGATATACTTAGAGACAGTTATAAATTATTTAGTTAACTTTTTTAAGTATGTATCTTAGAAAATAATTAATTGGATTCAACATTTATCAATAGGTCATGCTTCAGAATTTATGGAATAGATAAAAGGGATGTTTGTTACTGGGCAAAGAGGTAAAACCTTTTAACTATTAACTTTTTGAAGGAAAAAGAAAGGAAGATAACCACGAAACGTCACTGACAAACAAAATCACGTGTGTGAGTTGGCGATAAACTCAAAGGAGACGTGCAGCATAACCGCTATTGTATAATATTAATATATATATATTTATAGTTATATATATCTGATTTCAGTGACAGAAAGAAAGTCAGAGATCGAAAATGGTGACTAACACTGAAACGGTAGCTCCGGTGAGCAACGGCGTTGACGGAGGATGTTGCAAGTCAGGTCCCGGTTACGCGACGCCACTCGCCGCCATGTCTGGTCCACCGGAAAAGCTCATCTACGTCACCGCCGTCTACACTGGTACACATCTGTTTTTGTTTTAACCTGTTAGAGACCAGATCGAAGGTTTTTCAAAAGTATTTTCAGACAGAATCTTTACTTTTGACGTTATTGATCTGATGATGTGAAAATCTTTAGTAGGTCCTACGGAATCTCAAAATTCTAGATCGAAGTCACCCTTAGATCTCTGTTTTAGGGAGAAGTTTATCACAAGATTCTTTGGTCTTTTCATTTGTCTGATTGAATCTTACTTTTGATACCACTATTAGATTCCTTCATTGACAAAGATACTGTTCTTTTGTTGTGGATTCTGATACTTTTTTATATATATTTCTTTTAACTTGGTTTTAAGGAACGGGACGAGAGAAGCCTGATTACTTGGCCACGGTGGATGTTGATCCGAACTCACCTACATATTCAACCGTCATTCACAGATTGCCAATGCCTTTTGTGGGTGATGAGCTTCATCATTCTGGTTGGAACTCTTGCAGCTCTTGCCATGGTGATGCCTCTGCTGATAGACGTTTTCTCGTCTTACCATCCCTTATGTAAACATTCCTCAGCCTTTATAAGTTTTTCTTACGGAATAAGTAATCTTAAAGTTCACTCTCTTGACAAATAATAATATGTATTTTTTTTTCCTTGTTTTGAGTGAAGTTCTGGTCGCATCTATGCGATTGATACAAAGGCAGACCCGAGGGCACCTTCTTTGTATAAGTATGTGGATCCTAAAGAGATTGCTGAAAAGACTGGATTGGCTTATCCACACACTGCTCATTGCCTTGCCTCTGGTGAGATCTTGGTGTCCTGTCTTGGAGATGAAGAGGGAAACGCCAAGGGGAATGGGTTTCTTCTTCTTGACTCTGATTTCAACATCAAGAATAGGTAGCTTCTTACAAAACCAAATCATTATTTTTAAGTTCTTGTTAACTATTAGTCATATAGCATTATTGATGATTGTTACTCTTGACAGTTTAAAACAAAAACTATGAACAAAGGGAGGAAAGTGTGTGGTCGGTGAGATGAATGTAAGAAGCATTTAAATGGGATTTTTTATGTGTTTATCTCAGGTGGGAGAAAGAAGGACACAGTCCCTTGTTTGGTTATGATTTCTGGTACCAACCTCGGCACAAGACCATGATAAGCACTTCTTGGGGAGCACCTAAAGCCTTCTCCAAAGGTTTCGATCTCCAACATGTGGCTGATGGGTTATACGGAAGTCATCTTCATGTTTACAGTTGGCCAGGAGGTGAAATGAAACAACTAATTGATCTTGGAGAGACTGGCATGTTACCTTTAGAGGTAACATAATCAAGATCTCATACAAAAATCTAACTAAAGATGGCATTAATGATCTTTACCGGTTGTTCTTCTACGTGGCTGCAGATTAGGTTCTTGCATGATCCATCTAAAGATACAGGGTATGTTGGGGGTGCTTTGTCGAGTAATATGATAAGATTTTTCAAGAACAGTGATGAAACATGGGGCCATGAGGCAAGTGTTGTGTATAATTCTTCTTCTTTATTTCTCTTTTTGTTTGTTTGTTTGTTTTGGCTATATGGTTAACACCTAGGACAAACTGGTTTTTAGGTGGTCATATCAGTTAAACCACTGAAAGTAGAAAACTGGATTCTCCCAGAAATGCCTGGGCTCATCACTGACTTCTTGATCTCCCTCGATGACCGGTTCCTCTACTTTGTAAACTGGCTTCATGGAGACATTCGTCAGTACAACATTGAAGACCCTAAAAACCCTGTCTTAACAGGTCAAATTTGGGTGGGAGGATTACTACAAAATGGCAGTCCTATTAAGGCGGTTGGAGAAGATGGTAACACTTTCCAATACGATGTTCCTCAGATCAAGGTTTGTACCCAAAATAATCTTTTTTGAGGTTTTAAATCCATAAATACTACATTATGCTTTGTCTTAAGACTGCATCATCTCTGGTAATTTCAGGGGAAATCTCTAAGAGGAGGACCTCAAATGATCCAGCTGAGCCTGGATGGGAAACGATTGTATGCAACGAACTCGCTCTTTAGCGCATGGGATCGTCAGTTTTACCCGGAACTCATGGATAAAGGCTCACACATAATACAGCTTGATGTTGATACAGAGAAAGGTGGTCTCTCCATAAACCCTGATCTCTTTGTGGACTTTGGTGATGAACCTGATGGTCCTGCGCTAGCCCATGAGATGAGGTATCCAGGTGGAGACTGCACTTCCGATATTTGGATCTGAGTTTGGCAATGTTTAAAGACTGAGTTTCTTGTGTTACGCCTAAATAAAGTTTTTTTTAGTTGTTGAATAAAATCTGAATCCAGACAATTTGTACTTTGTTTGTATCCTTGTGGCTAATAATGCTTTGTAATAAACCTTTCTACCTTTCGGGTTTACACACTGTTCGGTTCTTGTCGTTGACTTTATAGTTTCACTTAAATAAAATATTGACTATGGTGATGGATGAATCTTGAAAACTAGGAAAATAATTACGAGTATAACTCTAGTTTTATTTTAATTACTGGTTTTTTTCATATCTAATTTATCCCTATTTTCTTTGTTAACAAAAAAAATAATTACGAAAATATAAATTAATGAATTTTTCAATTATATTTACGATTTTGCCAGACTTAAGGGCTTGATTGGTAGAGCATTAGCATAACCATTATGCTCTCTATTATCCAATCAATATTTGTCAAAGAAGCATTTGGAAAAATATTTACCAAATACTAATGCTCTTTAAATGATATTTGGTCAATGCTTTCTAATAGAGCTTTTGATAGAGCTTTTGATAGAGCATTTGCATTTACAATATATAAAATTTTTAAAAATAATTATACATAAATAATTTATTTTAGTTTAATAATACAAAAAAATATTTTTATAATCAAAAATAAATTTATATTTTACAAATTAAAATAAAATTAAAATTAAATATTTTTAAATTATTTTAAAAAACAATATTTCACATTTAAAATATAATATAATTTATTTAATTATACATATCGTTCATTATTTTTAATAACAAGCATAACACAATATATATTTATATATTATAAATATAAACATATATTAATTAGACACTAATAAATAAATTATATGACATATATTAATTTTTATGATAATTTATATATGAATCATTTACTGCTCTCAATAAATAATAATAATTTATATATAAATTATTTATTTATTTATTTATTTAATAAAATTAAATATTTTTATCTTCAAAAATAATTTAATATTTTTTTAAAAAAATACATTTTTAAATAATAAGATTTTACATATAATTTATATAATCAATAAGATTCATTATTTTTAATAACAAATATATTATTAATATATACTCTAAATATATTTTAATATAAATATTTATTTATATTAACTATTATAATAATTTTTAAAATTGTATACTACTAGTGCTTTGCCAATCACTTTATTAAATTTTTTATTGAAAGCATACAGCTTCTGCATCATACAATTTCTACAGCATACTGCTAATGCTTTATCATTTTTAATATTTATTCTGTTTACGTTTTATGTACTACAAACTTAATATTTTTTTTTAGCCACATATTTATTTAAAAATTTACAGGCTTAGTAAGATTTCCACAGATTAATTATAGCAAATTTGTCACGTTTGACCACAGATTTACTTAATTTGAACAGATTTATGTAACATCTGATAGATTTATTTTTCTTTAACCATAGATTTACTTGTTTTAGACAGATTTATTTTTGATTTGGTTGACTTATTATTATTTAGCCACAAACGTATTAAAATTTAACAGATTTAATTAAGATTACAGATTTATTTTTTTATTTGACCAAATATTTGTTACAATTCGACATAATTGTAAAAATTAAAGCGACATATTTATTTATAGTTTCGCTACAGATTTTTTTTAATCCTCCTTAACCGGAATGGTTATTTAATAAACTAAACCAAATTTATTTTAATTAAACCAAATCAAAATTATTTAATTAAACACAACCACAATAATTTAAACCAAACAAAGAAATGCCGTAATCCACAAATTTCTCACGTGTTTGCCTTATTTTTATTTGTTGACGTTGAGTATCTTTGTTAATGATGTTTTCACTTTCAGATTGACAATTTTGTCAAGCTGCCACAGACATCTCCAAACCTAGTTTTTTTTTTCTTCTTCTCGACAACGGAAAGAAATATATATATATATATTTTAATGTTTTTATTGTTAAGGAATTAATGTATAATGTTAAAATTGTAGTTAAGAGGAACCACTGTGGTTAATATAGTCTTTTTGTACCTATAACAAAATATGTAAATTATCTAGTTAAACTAGTAATTAGCAAAAAGATTAGAGTTAATCTAAGTAATTTTCTCTTATTCTAACATACATCATTCACCTTCTTCGAAAAGACTTTAGAACGTGCTAACACAGATATGTGGTTGAGCAACTTGTTTTGCTTTATAATCTATGTCTTCTTCTTGTCTTTATATATACATTGTGACTATTCTTGTCTTTATATATACATTGTGACTAGAATAGCTCATCAAGTAATGTTTTAAATCATATCTTTATCAAACATACTATTTTCTTGTTCTTTGTATATTTTTATATAGAAAGGAGTGAATATGACGTTAACGATTCCGATTCAAGAAATTATGAAACTGGTTGGCTCTTTAAAGATTGTGTGGCAAAGATAACAATGAACCAGTGGTGTTTAGCAAGAGAGATGGTGACGGAGGAGAAGGTCTATATAGCAGTGACAGGGAGAGATCTCATGAACTGTTAATTGCATCACACTCAATAAGCTCCCCTAAGTCATCTTGTGTCCACGTTCTATATCTTATCCATGACGTACCACTATGACAAAAATTTCAACGATGGTATTGAGTCTGACTCCATAAAGGTGAGGATGTACTATTGTAACATTTATATCATCGTCTACATTGACACCTGAGGTCGTGTGGTCAACAGAAAGAAGACTCTCATCGAAGATCTATTTCTCTTTCTACAAATTTTAAGAGAATTATACTTTTAACATATAGTTTGATTTTACACCCATATAAAAGGGCATGCATGATCTAGGTAGTTAAACCGTACCTGAAAATATAATTTTATTAATCTTATTGTTTATAACTCATTAGATAAACAAACCATATTAAAATGTTTAAGTAGTATTTGTGTTATAATTTGATTTTGTTAAGCAACCAATCCAAAGATATGATTGTAATCTTGGGTGATAATATGAGCATCAGGTACACACAAAAGATTGTTTGTTACTATGTTGTTTGCATAGATTATGATTAGTGATTCCACAAAAGAGATGAAGAAAATCAATCTAAATTCCTGGATAATTTTGATTTTTCGAAGATAATAATAAGTAAAACACATAAAATATGAAACATAAAATAATAAAAAATGATCGATAACGCAAATATAAATAGTATAGGGAATGAAGTATCAACCTAAAAAAGTTGTGAGAAAGAAGATTCATTATGTAAGATCTGACTATTGACAGCAATAGATAACTGGTATCAGGAGGAAGAGTTGAGTCTATATCTAATACATGAAATAATGACTTCTTCTCTGCTTTAGCATTACTGGATGATTTTGATATACTACGATTTTTCGTTTCATACACACTCAAATGTCGACCATAACGTCCAACGTTTTGGTTTCTACGTCATCCAGGAGGACTTTTTTTATATTCCACATGCATTTAGAAGTTCTTCTTCTTCTCACAAGTTCAAAATCTGAAGTATAAAACTTTCAATTATTAGTTTTCACAAGTTCCTTTTGTTTTTTCACCAATTTTTCAAACAACTAAAAAGCAGCTTCTACTGCACACAACGTCAGTTTTATATGTTCAGTAGCAACATATGAAATCTCGTAGAAAGTAGGACATATATGATTATATCGCTTTCCGATCGATTGCTTCACTATATCATTAGGTGTCGATGAATGATAAAAAATATATGACTCCTACTTTAACCTCTTTACACCATCAATTCAGAATGTAGGTAGGTGGAATTTTTCTAACATCCTTCATGGCCAACACTTTTAATGTATGACGACATAAGATTCCACCGAAAGAAAACTTCATGCAACTATAATGTATCGCTTCGTTTGCAGCAAAATAAGTAACCAAGTGATTTTTTCCAACACCAATATAAGATAAATTGTATTCATCACTTACCATCGCAGACTTATTTAGTCTTTTGGCAACATAATCATCAATATTTGTGTATTTCTTCTGCAATAAAGTAAACACTTATGGTGTATACACGTCCACTGCATGTTGCAATATTTCTACATGAGCCGATAATACGGGAAATATATGCATCATACCAAAGTTAGCAGTTAATTCTTTAAATCGTTGATCTTCCAACACTCTCTTATAGTGTTTGAAGAAGTACAACATGTTATAACTGCGTTTCAAGTATTTGTTTCAAAATATTATTCATATTTTCACGATGTTGTGTGATCATCATATCGACTGTAAAAGTTTGACGACAATATATATGCTTACCCATTTTCCCCTCAACTCAAACAAAAATTTCAACCATTTATTCTCTGTCAATCCATGCTTTTGAGCATTTCACTCCATGCCAATAACCACTCCATTTCATTCTCATAATCATATATACATTTTCCAAAGTATGTGGTAAACTGGTCTGGTCCATGAAATACACGACTCAATCTCTTTGCAGCATTTTGGTAAATATTCTAAACACATAACCTATGTTTTGTTTCAGGGAATAATTTTCCTATTGCACTTGCCATACTGCACATTGGTATATAAGATTTTTTTGTAGTTGTTTTCCAGAATTGCTCCAAGAAAAGTGTGAAAAAATCACTTAAAAGACTATATAGTTTCATCATATCAGAGGGCAGCGACAAACACAATAGTTTTCTTATGGTGATTGATCCCGACAAATGGAGCAAGTGTTTTATCATATTTGTTGATCTTGTAAGTTGTATTAAAGCAAACAATATTTTCAAAATAATTGTAACTACTAACTGACCGATCATTTGCCCAGATGATATTAGTGATCATATCGTTCTAATCAAGTTGCATTGAGTAAAAATAGATGCATTATCCTCTTATTCTTTTTTGAAAGAACTCTAAAAACCGCTCCAACATCTCCCTTTTTCATTGCTGTCATTCGCTTACGGTATATGTAATTGCGCTTGTCTTCATCCATTAAACCAAGATTTGTTTGCCCCCAAGTTCTCCACTCATCATTTCAACGG